AAATAAGTAGACAATGCTTGTCTAAAGTATTCAATGAAACAATATATATATATATATATATATATATATATATATATATATACAAAGATATAATCACACATAGAATCAATCAGAAGTATTAATGCAATTATTGGCGACATCCATCGCTAGAAACATATTATATGCATTAAAATACTGTTAATTCATAGTGCGAACTGATCCTCGTCGATAAACTTGATGTCTTTAGTTTTCAGTTTATTTGATGTTAAAATGCTAGTAGTTACTATTTTTGAAAAGGCGATATATATATATATATATATATATATATATATATATATATATCGCTTTTTCAAAAATTTAAATGCAATGTCAATCGTTCTCTTCCGGTTGCTTTATTGTATTTTCTCACTTTTTCTCAACAAAGTTTCACTCCTACTAACCCTAGCGTCCTCCTGTCATTATCACTTTGCTTGGGGCGAAATGACTGAAAAAAAATTTTGCTGACTTTTCCAAAATTTTCTAATTGTCGAACTATAGTAGATTGTGATATGTTTAATATCTGTAGTGGACCCCCCCCCTGGATGGGATGCGATATAACATGGCGTGTGTACCCCAATAAGGCATAGAGACACAAGAGTCCGACTAAAATTTATAAATTAAAGACGTGAAATCGGACAGGTCGACAAGTGGACATCAAACGACAAACATAAAATTTAATACGGAATTTATTTAGAATATAGACCAGAGTCCTTGTAGGTTAAATTAGCATGTAAATTCACAGCTTGTAAGTTCACTTCAGTTCACATGTCCAGCGGAATTGCTGACGTAGAGACGTTGTTGGTTAAGTCCAATGGTAAACCTTCCGTAGTATTATAACCCATGTGCACAGAATAAGTTATTTGAAATCTGGACAATATAGCCAAATAGAAGATTGTTCTATTAAAATGTCCAGTGCTGGCATCGAGTCCAGTGCTGGTCAAGTTCAATGGTGAACCTTCCATCCTATTTTAACTGAAGTGTAAGGAATAGCTGATTTCAGTATGGACGATATACCTGCAACAATTTCTTAAACCAGGTGAATTAGTTTGACAGGAAAACCGGGGCAATGATGCAGCCGGAAGTTCATGGGTGTTTTAAGCAGGTCCATTAACGCAGATCAATTAAGTGAGTGAGGTCGAGATAAGTGATGACAGAAGTAGGTACAAGGCGTGGCTAATTTAGCTAGTATGTATATATATTCTCAAAATATGTGTGTGTGTGTGTGTGCATTTCCACAGTGTTCATCCGATTTTGATGATTTTTTTTTGTTTCATTGATAATTCTTCACTGCTGGTTTCGAGTTCAAATTGTTGGCGACAATGACTCTCCACTACTTCCTGTCCATTATAATTGTCAGCAACTTTTTACTATTCACTATCTGTTCTTGGATATATATATCCTTCATAAAAACTTTAATAAAAATAAATAGTTTTAATTGTTACAATAATATTATTTATTATAATAGAGTTCCCTTTTCAGGGCCACCCACTTCAAATTGTTAACCAACACCCCCAAAAAATGTCGTTACTAATATTGATTTTCGGGTGGGCTCACTTTAAACTGAAACGGCTCCAAATGAACGGCAAAGATCCCAGCATTAAAATAACCGGTCAAAGACGGGTTATATTGCTAGTATATATATATATATATAATTGTTATTTTGTTCCTGAAAATCTAAATTCTAGGTCGATCTCTAATATTTATAGTAAACTTTTAATTATTTCACCTAAGCGGATCGTCAGGGAACCTTCCCTGACGATCCGCTTAGGTGAAACCTTGGTAGGTTTGTCTGGCTTTCTAGGCTTAACTAGGTCTGCTCTACTCATTGTATTGAGCACTTTATTTAGTTATTTTTGGTACTCGCATCGGGGTTATTTTCTTTGGGCCTTGAACTCGTATACTGGATGATTATATTCTTGGTTCTTTCTTTTTTTTATACCTTTTTTCCCACTTTGGTATTGGCTTCTTTATTTGCAAATCAAGACACCGAAGGTTTTCCGTAAACAAGAATAGATAAGATTTCTATTAATAATATATATATATATATATATATATATATATATATATATATATATATATATATATAAACTCTAACAAAATCATTGACAATTTACTATAAATATTAGAGATTGACTACGTCAGTAGCAGGGCTTGGAGTTTCATGGATTTTAACAATCTTCCGGTCTTAATATATGAAATTCCGAGTCGTGCTAACGACGTTGGAAATTATGAATATATATATATATATATATATATATATATATATAAGGCAGGTGTGTGTGTGTGTGTGTGTGTGTGTGTGTGTGTGGAATGCACGGCGCAATTTTCGACGGATTTGCATCAAAATTTATATGCGCATGCTCCAAGTGAGCAGGAAGTCCAAGACCGACTTTGCATTTCCCAACTCCCATCGATAGTCGAAATAATCGATTTTTTCATGCTTCTACGGCACTTTTCATGTAGTTTGCGGCCATTTTGTACTGGCCAGAGTGAGAGCCAATAGATGGCTGCCACGAATAGGCAGGAAGATTCTATTGGCCAGCATGAGAGCCAACAGCTGACTGACACGAATGTTAACTAACATGCTAGCATGCAAAAAAAAAAAAAAAAGTCGATAGCTGCATTCGTCACAAGTGGGAAAAATTTAAATCTGCATGGCACTTTACTCCAATTGACTCATTTGCTTGCTTAAACTCAACGTTGATTCTGATTCTGCAGAACTGAGTTGGGTGTGAAAACATTGTTTTTTCATTCGGTTTTTCCAGTTACGAGTCCTTTTTTTAAAGCTGTCTTGCATGTTGGTTTTGGAAATAGGTAACAAAAGAGATATTCGAAAATATCCGGAGCATTAATTTATATTTTGAAAAGATTCGATAGCGACACACTCGCGAATTCTACGTTTACTTAATTTACTTCCTCTTTTAATAAATGTGATGCTCATTATGTGCTGTGAGTGAGTAGGTGCTGTTTGTCGATAGAGAGAGAGAGAGAGAGAGAGAGAGAGAGAGAGAGAGATTTCATCTTAATATATTTCTTCATTGATCGATTTGTACTCGAAGCCTTACAAAACTAATTGGCTTATTTCTGTATCTTTGATATTCGTTCAAGGGTCGTAGAATGTAAAAACTGCCTGAGCAAGAAAAACAATTTAAAAAATGCTAAAATAACAGAAAAAACATAAAAGTAAACATATTGCAATACCTTTTACCTCTTTTTTTGTGAAAGTGTGATGTTGAATAAAAGGCCTGAGAGCAATATCAAAATTGATATTAAATAATGGTAGTGCCTCATTATCGTGGCTTTGTGCCATACTTTGCTACGATTATTATATATATATATATATATATATATATATATATATTATATTATTATTTATTATTATTATTATTATTACCAAAAAATTCATAATTCACCTTGGAAACATGAATTATGAATTTTTGCAGTGCCTTTAAAACCCAGTAATTTACTCCAATAAGTTACTCCAAAATTCGCTTGAGGATGAATTGGAACTAATGTCTTTAATTTAATTACAAAATTAAATTCGAACTTTTAGCTTAAATTTTTGAAACATGCTTAGAATTGTGTAGCGATAAAACATATTTTCAGGCAACACCTCATCAGAAGAATAGTTAGTGATACCAAGTCACCAACGATTTTTCTATCTGTATGTATGTGTGTATACATACATACATACATACATATATATATATATATATATATATATATATATATATATATAGACTACACATTTCCCATGATTTCTCTAGAACGTTCATATCTGCTCGTAGCATATCTTAACGTAAACAAATGATATATTATGGAATGGACTAAATCCGTATTTAAATGCTATAGCACATCAGGCTATATATATATATATATATATATATATATATATATATATATATATATATATATATATATATATATATATATTTACACTTTCAGTGATCTGTTTGGTTCGATGCAGGACGTTGAAATAGACAAAAAAAAGAAGGAAAATAAAATAAAATCACATTTACATATACACGGCAATGGCCGGAATGCATACCGATCGAAACGTTTTGATAAAAATAACCACGATAAAGATACTCGTTCCAACAATTCGTGGAATAATGAGAGAGTAAAAAGAAAAACTTGGTCTTAGAAAACCCGCCTATATTTGTTCCTCTAGATGCATGTCTTGAGCGTACGAGAGCGAGATACAGAGAGAGAGAGAGAGAAGAAGAAGAAGAAGAAGAAGAAGAGAAAGAGACAATGTGAGAGAGATGAAGAGAGAGAAAGATAGATAAATAGAGAGAGTGAGGGAGAGAAGAAGAAGGACAACGAGAGAAAGAGATAGTGGGAGAGAGATGAAGAGAGAGAGAAAGATAGATAGATAGATAGATAGATAGATAGATAGATAAATAGATAGAGGGGAGAGAGAGAGAGAAGAAGAAGAAGAAGAAGAAGAAGAAGGAGAGAAAGAGAAAGATATAATGTGAGAGAGATGAAGAGAGAGAAAGACAGATAAATAGAGAGAGAGAGGGAGAGAAGAAGGAGAACGAGAGATAGAGATAGTGGGAGAGAGATGAAGAGAGATAGATAGATAGATAGATAGATAGATAGATAGATAGATAGATAGAGAGAGAGAGAGAGAGAAGAATAAGAGAAAGAGAGAAAGAGAGAAAGAGATAATGTGAGAGAGATGAAGAGAGAGAAAGATAGATAAATAGAGAGAGAGAGGGAGAGAAGAAGAAGGAGAACGAGAGAAAGAGATAGTGGGAGAGAGAGATGAAGAGAGATAGATAGATAGATAGATAGATAGATAGATAGATAGAGAGAGAGAGAGAGAGAGAGAGAAGGAGAGGGAGAGCAAAGAAATAATAAGCAAAAAGCTTATGAAATGAAGAAGAGGAGATGTTTAATTACCTGGACTATTGAAGTTGACAACGTCAAGGCAGTCAGATTTATTAGCTTTTCCTTTTTCTATAAAAAAGTAAAGAATGAAATGCGTTAGATATGTACACAATCAACCTATCTACCTATCCCTATCCCTCTTTCTATCACTATTGATTCTTTTCTTTCTCGTGCGCGCGCACGCGTTCCATCCATCTGAGTCTGTTTCATATCTATCTATCTATCTATCTATCTATCTATCTATCTATCTCAGTATGCTCATATCTATCTATCTATCTATCTATCTATCTATCTCAGTATGCTCATATCTATCTATCTATCTATCTATCTATCTACAGTCAACGACGAAATTATTCGTACACTCCTCAATTTCCAATATTTTTTATCCATTTCTCAGAACCTGTAAGATGCCGAGTTTGTTTTTATATCTTAAAAAGCACAAAAAAGGAATAAAAAACTCTATCTTCATAAAAATAGGTTAAATACATCAAATTTGACAGGCGAATTATGCAAAATAGGAAAAGACAAAATTATTCGTACTGTATGAAAAATAGAAAAAAAAAGAACTATTTTCACAATATTAACAGTCATTAGCATGGCCTCTCATCTTTATAACTTGCAATCGTTTTCTAAATTTTTTGATGAGATTTGAACAAATCTTTTCTGGGATTTTCTTCCATACTCCAATCGTTACACGTACTAATTCCTGAAGGTTTTTTGGTGACCGACGATTTATTCGAACTTTCAATTCTTGACATAGATATTCAATAATATTCAAGTCAAGAGTCTGATTTAGACGTATGTTTTGGATCATTATCTTTCTGGAAAGTTAATCACTAACCTAGATGAAGATTTTACACTGATAGTTGTAGATTTTCATCCCGAATTTTGATATAGTCTGCAGATTTCACTATTCCTATTATTGCAATTAATTGTCCAGTCGCCCTTCAGCTAAAGCAATCCCAAAACATTATCCAGCCGCTTCTATGTTTTAATGTTGCCACTGTGTTCTTTGGGAGGAAAGACTCATTTTCCTTGCGCCAAATCTTCTGTTCATCATTATGTTTAAAAAGCTCAGTATTTTTTTTAACTCTGCATCATACTTGTTCCCAAAAGCAATTTTCTTTGTCCAAGAACGTTTTGGCAAAATTAAACATGGTTCCTGAAGAGGGGTTCGTCGTGGCTGGTTTCCATACAACCCATTTCTATTTAAACAACGTTGTATTGTTCGAGTACTTATGCTCATACCTATCGTATCCATACTTTTGGCAATGTCTTTCAAAGCAACTCTTGGATTTGTATTAACCTGGCGACACAGTTTTCGCGCAGTTTTCAGTGACAATGTGGGTTTTCTTCCATGCCCAAGCAAATTCTCTGTCGTGCCAAACTGCTTAATCTTCTTTAGAACGGACTGTACTGTAGATCTCAGGATAGCTAACTGGTTTGAAAAAGTGCTGTAACTATTTCCCGACTTGTGGAAGTTAATAATTCTCTCTCTCTCGTCAACACTAAGCTCCATTGTTTTCCTCATCGCGTCGATAACGTAAGAAAAACAATGGTGTTACTATGCACCACATGATGTTCTTTGCTGGAATTATCACAAATATTCTACTGAATAAATAGTCTTGAAGGCTTCACCGATAAAAAAAAAATTAGGTAAATTACTTATAATTATGCAAATTAAAGTGATATTTTCTATTGTTCGAATAATTTTGACTTTTCCTATTTTGCACTAATCGACTGTCAAATTTGTTGTATTTAAACTATTGTTCTGAACATTCAATTTTATTTCCCTTTTTCTGTGCTTATTCACGTACAAGAAAAACTCACATCATACGAGCATTAGATTCTGAGAAATTGATAAAAATATTCAAAATTGATGGGTGTACGAATAATTTCGTCGTTGAGTCTATTTATCTATCTATCTATCCATCTCCGCCTCATCATTATCTATCTATCTATCTGAGCCTATCTATCTATCTCCGTTCGTTCATTATCTCCACCCATTCCTTATCTATCTATCTATCTATCTATCCGAGTCTGTTCGTATCTATCTATCTATCTATCTATCTATCTATCTATCTATCTGAATCTATCTATCTATCTATCTATCTATCTATCTATCTATCTATCTATCTATCTATCTATCTATCTATCTATATCACTAATGTATGTCTCTATATGTATGCACGCGTGTTCGTATCTATTTTAGATTATACATCTATGCACATATCTTTTGTTGAAGTTGTTGAAGAAAGGTGACGATTAAAAAAAAATATGTAGTAAAAAAAAGGAAGCAAATGGTCATACACTGTAGCCCATAAGCCGATATTTGAGTCTTGTTCAAGTTTCTGGTATTGGTTAACATTTTTATCAAAACGGTGGTTATTCCCTTGACACCGCTATCACTTTATACCATTTTGACTCCTTCGACAATGTATATTAGTTTTAAAAAGCGATGATTGTTTTTTTTAATAATCTCGAAACATATGAAAATCGATTGAATTAACAACAAATTATTACACTCCGTTACGGTAGAAATAACGAAGGTATATTACACGAAATAATAATACAATATGTGGAAGGTGTTAGTATGACTGTCAGTCTGGTTTGGAGTGAACTACTATCGGCTCGGCTCGATTCGATATTTACTTGCCCCCCACCCCGCCACGAGGGAAAGATGTGACACAAGGCCGAGTTTTACGTTGGTTTTCCGAGCCCGTAGGCTCGTCCAAAAAATGCCCATAGAAACTGTAAAGACAGAATTGGGTTGGTCAACCTCCCCGAACGAGACTTTGCCCTTCGGCGGAGCCTCGTCCGGGTTCCTCTTTTCTCAGAGGCAGAGAGTCCGACCGTCAAGCCGAAACGGCTAGACTCGATTCGATATTTACTTGCCCCACCCACCACGAGGGAAAGCTATAGCACAAGGCCGAGTTTTCTGTGGGTTTCCCGAGTCCGTAGGTTCGGCTAAAAAATGCCCGTAGAACCAGTCTAAACGGGATTGGGTTGGTCAACCTCCCCGGACGAGGCTCCGCCGAAGGGCAGAGCCTCGTCCGGGGAGGTTGACTCAGAGGCAGAGAGTTCGACCGTCAAGCCGAGAAGTTCGGCTCGATTCGGTATCTAGCCACCTCCTCTACGAGGGTTGCATGAGGCAAGAGGCCGAGTTTAACGTGGGTTTCCCGAGCCCGTAAGCTTGGCCAAAAAATGCCAGTAGAAACCGTACAAATGGGATCGGGTTGGTCAACCTTCCCGAACGAGAGACTGCCCTTCGGCGGAGCCTCGTCCGGGTTCCTCTCTTCTCAGAGGCAGAGAGTTCGACTGTCAAGCCGAGGAGCTCGGCTTGATTCGACCCCGTCTCTTGAGGGGCGTAGTATACATAGTGTTAGGAAGAGTTCATTCTGTAGTTATAGGTAAGGACCCATGGCACTTATTTAATCTATCAGCAGATTTGCCTGGCATTAAAAACATAGTAAAGATATAAAACTTTTAAAAATCATGCTTTTCGAGAGAAGAAAAAAAAGTAAGAAGCCTTGATCCTAGATTACAATAAGAAAAAGAAATCAGCAGATTAAAAGATTAATCTCTGATGTGAAATAATCTCAGAAGAAAATCGTTTATGTCCAGAAAAACATGTTTATTCAATTTTTTTTTGTTCCATTTTTCATAATTTAAAAAAAAAGTATTATGAATAAAATATTTGTTTTCTCACTTATTTCTGAAATAATAGATAATAAATATTGCATGGTATTTGTTATCACAGTGTTTCGACCGCTGTTACCTTCTGCATTCCTCAGGTGTATATCGATCTGTGCACATTACAGGTAATTCCGAAATGAACCCTTTATTTAATTTTCGTAGGTTCTACTGCTCATATCATAAACTTCACAAACCAACGCTGTTTACTCATTAGGCCACTGTCACGTCGGAATTCCGTAGGTTAAATAAAGGGTTCAGTTCGAAATTTCTTGCACGTTACCTAGATTGATATATATATATATATCTGTTATGTTTATTTACCCACGTACGCATGGACTCTCCCAGCTATAAATAGGAGCAGGTACTGCCTTTTGGAGAGGAAAGTTTCCAGCAGTCAGCGCTGACAGTCGGACCGAACATTCTTGCTGTAACACTCTCGTGTGTATGTTTGGTGTTACTGCTTCTGTTAATATATTTGTTTAACTCAATTCCTCTCTTTGTGTCTTTATTTCTGGCCCTGTCAATGCCACAACAATATCCGAGGAAGGCCGGAAGACACAACGACCGAATATTTGTGATAACAACAATAATGGTGAGGACAATGGTCCGAATATAAATAGTGTAAATAATGGTAACTTCTAATCCCAGAAATTCAGACAAAAATTGGTTTATATGTTGATAATTTTATTTTTTTTCAGCATTTTTAATAAAGGGATTTCTTCTCAAATGTATTTCTTTATAAAATGGCAAATACATCTTTATAAACGATAAATATTAAATTTCGCGTTGAACTTGGTTCTCAATTTTATAATCTTGTAAATAGGTATTACCGAGGGTTTCAAAAGTGTGTATAGTAATAGCTGTGCCAACCTTCCGTTTAACACACTGTTTTTATTTCTTGCAGGTCCAAAGACTAAGCATAGTTAAGTTTCGTATACAGATATTATGGTTAGTCACCAAGAAACTGTCCCTAATTCCTTGACCTCTCATACAATATGAACGACTAATACAGTAAGACTATTTTCTTCAATGCCAACAGTTTTCGAGTTAATTTTAAAGTTAGAATTTCGTGCGATAATCCACGGGGTATATCAGGAACATGCTTTTACCAAGATTACAGGCACCACACAGTTTTCTTGTTTAATCGTCTCGAGATGTTGTATCAGTGAACCGGGTTCAAATTCATGCCTAGTTATTAGTGTTTATTTTTGCACATATTCCTTTAGAAAACAAAATCAATTCTTTTCCCTAACGATGGGGGACAAAGCAAGGTAGAGTGGAGTCTCTAAAATTGATTAACAACTAGTCTAAGAGAAGGAAAACTCTGATTTCAAAACTGTACAGAAGGTAATATGAAATCACTATATTTCCCAAGAATCATGTGTAATTAGAAGAAGGAATCTGTAGAGAGACATATATGCCGACATCTTTATGGCATTAAAAAAATTCTAAAAGTTACATATTGCATAAAATATTGATTAATTAGAATGAGAATTCGGGGAGCTGAGTTCTAATTCCAATTAGGTTCGTTACGTTTCACTTAAGCACAAATATCCTTGGGAAAAATATAAATCCGCCACTTGTCCTCAGCTAAGGGTTAAATAGTAGGATTTGTATCTGGGGAATCTATGCTGTTCAAAAATAAAATTATTATTATAGAATTATCAATTTTCACGCAAAAAATTGGTATAATGGAATATGCATACACCTGTGTTCCCCCTCACTGGAATATGATTGGCTGGTGTCCATCATAAATACCGACGGACGTGTAGGTACGAGAGTCAAGAGCCTTAGTCTGAGAGCTAAGTCTATAACGACGCCCATTGGACTACGCCATTGATCTACACTTCTTACCTGTGACTACGACGCTTACCAGTCGATTACTGCTACCGTATTCTACTTGGTTATAGTAGCCAAAACCACTTAGCTACTTCGTTCAAATATATCCCTTTCCGGGACATATCAAAAATATTCTAAAAATCCAAAATATTTTAGGAACATCTATGACAAAGTGGAAACAATATTTTAGTTTAACGCGTTTCGTCATTTAGGACTTCATCGGACTAAAGTGATGTGTATGTAGATATGATTACACACGTGCATGAAGGAGAGGGGGCGCTAAAATTTTAAACTGATTTTTTTTAAAAATATATCTTTGGGTATAATTTTTCATATATTTTCCTAAAATACATAGTTTTCACAATCCCAAATATGTTTTGGCTTTAAATAACCCAGAAAGGATTAACAAGTCGTAAAATAAATTAATTAAAGAGTTTTTTTTCTTGTTATTAATAAAGCGTTTTCTTTTTCTAAATGGATTCGTTAAGAAATTTACGGCTATATTCAATAAAGACTAGATTTTGACAAGGGTGACAACAGATGTAACAGATGTACGTTGAATACCGTATCAAAAATCAAATCGTTAACCTGTCATTTGTCCCTACTACATATCAGAAGAGATATAAAATGGCGCAACATTCTTACTTCAACAGAACCGACTTTTAATTTAATTCCACGCATTATCTTGACTAATATTGCCATTTTCTTACTCCCCGACCTTATTTAGTTGCTTTTTGTCATAACGTCCGAAAAACTCAAGTTTAAATTGTGGGAATTCGGAACAAAAGATGTAGTTTTGGCTGATATTGAGATTCACAACCTGTACCACAGGAGAATGCTACGCCATGTAGATACGCTTATTTAATCTTACCAACCAAAAGCGAATAGTTTTCAAGACAGATATTTTCAACTTCCAATATTGCTTCTGTTTCTAAACGTACAACCATATAGCGTTGAAATACCGGTTCCCGTACGATTTTCAAAGTTAAGCAACGTCAAGCCTGGTCAATGCTAAGCTCTATTGTCTTCATCATCGTGTTGTTAACGTAAGAATAATAATGGTGTCATTCTATGCCCTACGTAATGTCCTTTGTCGGAATTATCAAAATTTAATTAATAAAAAGGACAAGAGAATATTCGTATTAAACTCGTATTAAATATTAGATGATTTTTTCAAAAAAATAGAATCATGAAAAACAGAAGTATAAAAAATAATAATTAGATAAATAAATAACAAGAAGCTAAATAGATAACTAAGACCAAATTAGCACAATATTAATGAATTATAAATAGGATTATATAAATTAAATTTTTTGTCTATCTCCTTCGTTTTGACAAGCCTGTTCTGGGCGAAATGATTATATATCATATGGGGTATTGACTTTTATCTACTTGTAATTCATGTTTGCTCTATAATAAATATATTGAGCTCTCTTCTGTGGATCAGTTTTAATAATTTTTTATTATTAGAATTCATTTGGATTTATTACACACACACACACACACACACACACACACACACACATATATATATATATATATATATATATATATATATATATATATATAATATGATAAAAATATAGTTTTAAGGTATGCTATATTTAAAATAGTCTAGAAAGCTTCACCGATAAAATAATTATGTAAATTACTTTTACGAATCAATCAATTTACAATGTAAGGTTGGATGTGTGGGTGGTGTAATGGATAATGGATTGGAATTGTTA